GACGACACACGTTAAGTCAATAACAGCTGCCCACTTATCTATTACAGATGTCACAGGCCGACTTTGGACTTCTGGCCCAATTGCACATTTGGGTCAAGTTAATCGGAAGTAGTAGCCCGGAGCGATTCTAAACCGACCAGCGATATTCACCGCGACGATAAATTAATTAAAGCGTACTTTGCACTAATACTGTTTCGACTGTGAACGACCACTGCCGTTAAACGTGATAAGTAGGCTTTATTCTCAGGAAGATTTTACGATGATCGTTGTACGATGGAAGGTGCGCAGGCGAGTAACTTCTTGGTACTGTAGGTGCGAACGATATAGAAAACGGTCGTAAAGTCTGCGAGAAACTAAAGTTTACAGCAATGAAACGTGTAATTTAAGATATCTTGCATTTTTGGAGTGATGAAAATCGTAAGGTCCTTTCAGGGTTCAAATTCTCAAGGATGTTGAATCTGCTACATTCTTTCGGACACTTTGGATCCATTCGTTTCTACTACTACTTAAAAAATTCCTTAAACTCGAGTAGAGTACATCAAAGAATTATTACGGTTTAAAATTACACTGAAGCTTTTCTTAAAACGTTAGAAAATCTGTTTCTTTCGTGAACTGTCAAAATATCAGAGAGGATCCTGAGATATTTATTGAAGTCTATACTATATCATATTATTCGATATTTCTACGAGTAGAACATATCTGTTTGTCTGGCTGCACTATATCAGGAGCTGTCCGCTTTTGCAATTTTGATTTAAGACTGCACTGCTATACGATTTCGTCGTTATTGACCTTCATTCATATTCATAATTCAATCAAACAATCCAATAGGAAGGGATCTCATTTAGGTATAGCATGAATTTTTCATGAATCGATGCAATTCCAAATTCCATGCGTGTTACGAAATGTTTCCAACGCCTTCGAGCGACTTTATTTCTAAAATAGTTGAATCTCTCTTTCTCTCTGTCTGTCTATTTCGACTATTATGATGATAAGAAATATGGCAAATATATAACACCATGGGCCATAGAAACGAATCAACGATATTAATTCCCTCGCTATTTTAGTCGAATTACTATCGTCCATTGGATTCGGTGGTGTATTCCGTGTAAATCAATCGATCCTCATCACCGATGAGTATATTTTTCGAGGAGATTGCAAATATGAATTTCATCTCGATCGAGTGTTCGTTGATTTTGCACGAGTAGGAACTAAATGAACATTTTCAAAACTAGTTAAAGGATATCTCAATTACTGTAAATGCAGTAGCCCATAAAAATAATCGATCACTCGTAGGAAGTTTTTATGAAACATTTTAAAGTTTCATCAGCACTGTTGTACTGGTAAAATTTGAAACAAATCTGAAAATGTACATGGAAGTTACAAGATTACAAAAGTATTTAAAGAGTTAATTATTTATTATATTAATGAGACCATTATTCAGTGAAATTATTGTTAATATTTATATGTTTAAAATAATTATCTTATATCATTACAGTCTTTATGAAATTTCGTAACAATCTATTTAACGCATATAATATACGGGGTGTCTCGGTTAAAGAAAGTCACATAAATGTTTTTTTTTTGGTTTTAATAGCACGAAAGATGTCAAAATTGGCAACATGGAACTACAAACGTCGAAAATGAAAAATGAGACGTAAAAATTTTCTATGGTACAGTGTCCGAATACTTTTGCGAGGCACTGTATGATGAAGGGTCTATAGAATCGCGATCTCTCTGTTTCGAACGGTTTTGCTTCCAAAAATTCCAGTTTGATTAAAAACAATATTTGTAACAGTCAATAAAATTGCCATTACCTCGAACTTCATCATGTAAATTTCGTGTAATTAAACAGTCGCAAGGGCATGAATGCAACTTTGAATGAGCGACGAGCGCCAACTCGTTTCATTTAAAACGCTGGTCAACCAATTCTACCGCCGGTAATTAAGTTTCTCGATCGATCGTTTTATCTTGTTCCTACCTCGTTTCAAAACGTTAATCTCGCCAAGCGGAAGAACACAAAATGTATACTGTTCGGCAAAGATACTTGACGATTTAGTTTTAATGAATTTTCTCTATGACAAACAAAAGCGACAAGTGAGTGAAGGAGCATGAGAGGAGACAGAAAAGTGGCTCGAAGTTTGAGAATTCGTTTCGAGGAATGTTAGTGTTTCGTGTCTGAATGGGTTCGAGAAACGAAATTTAGAAGCTTGTACGCGGAAAATTCAAGAGCTCAGAGTTTGAGTTTGAAAGCGGGCAAGTACAGTTGGCGAGCGACTCATCCAGTTAGAGCTCTTAATTATTGCCGAGAGCTTTGTTTCGAAATTGTTTCCCGAAGGACAATCTACGCTTAACATACGCCTGTACTTTGAGATTTTCATTGCCAGCATCGAATTTCGATATTTTCCATAACATCATGCGTTAAAGTCTTAATCGCGACGCAGGTTCTTTTTTATTTTCAAAACTTTCTTGTCTGTACCATTACCTCCTGTTACGCAATTTAGAATTAGAATTTAATTACAATAAATACTTTCCTTCAATGTCTCAAGATCGATGGGTTTCCACTTATCGTTTGCCTTTCGATTCTGCTCCT